GATACATCTGCACATACTTGTGTAACAAATAAGTAATGATAGATAGATATAGATAGGTGATAGATAGAAGATAAAGGTAGATGTGTGTGAGAGAGAGAGAGAACAAAAGATAGATGATAGGTGATAGAGAGATGATTGACTGATTGATAGAAGAGAGATAAATACATAGGGATAGATAGACAGACAGACATACAGACAGACAGGCAGACAGGCAGGCAGGCAGACTGTCAGGCAGACTGTCAGGCAGACAGACAGAGTGAGTACATGGACCAAATGCCAAAGCCATGCTGCTCATAGAGCATAAGAGCATATTGCCCCACAGCTCTGTATGCAAAGCACATTCCAGGCAGCAACTGTTTTCACTTCAGCACGGACTGGATGGCTGCTTTCATGTGGGTGTTAGAAATACTAGAAGACACCTATATCTGAATTAATATTGCTCTCCATCTTCATCACATCATGATACAATGTCACACAACCAGGGTAGATCGTGAGATACAAAGAAGCCAGTAAACAATGTGTAGCCAACAGACATTTGCCCATGCAGATTCCTTGATGAACCTGAGTGATGTAAGATGCTAACAGAAGAGAGTTGGTGAAGAGTGTGCGGAACTCCATGGACAAATCTCTGCAAATCTTCTAAAAACAAAAATATACAAAACATTTATTATTTCAAAAATACCACTGTTAACACAGCTAAGCTGAGACACGCCCAGTCCAATTGCATCTGCAACCCCTCAATCACACCTCCCAAGGTGAAAAAGAAGGGCTTTCTCTGGAAGACAGAGGTCACAGAGGAAGAGGCAGGGTGCTTTCAATGCCGAAGCCTTTCTGATTACCACAATTAATTATGGTTAGGCAACACCACTGAATGCCTGGAAAGAACAGAAACAGCAATTGTTTCTGGGGCGGGGGAAACTAGTCCAGAGTTTTATGGAGGAAAAAAAAATGAACCCTGGGAAATTTACAAAGGAAAACTGGTAACAATGACTCCCACCTTGAAGCTCTCTCCTTCCAGTTCTCCTATCACCTCTTTCCACTTCCAAACACCTGTGTTTCTACAGGGTAACATTTGACTCAAACATAAAGGACTAGTCAGGAAATGAGCTAGCCCCAGTGTTTTAAAGCTGCTGAGAGCTCCTCATAGTGGCACTGGGCTGCAATACCAGCACACAGGAGGCTGAGACAGGAGGATTGCAAGCTCAAGGCAAGCCTAAGACACAAAACAAGAACTTGTTTAGGGAGGGGGAGGAGGGAGGGAGGGAGAAGTAGGATGATGAGAGAATTACAAATGGAGACTGAAAGGGATCAGTATAGGATCAGGACATGCCAAGACCAAGTTCTCAGCACAAGGGAGATTTACTTGCCCCAAGGGGACAAAGGGCGGGGAATAAGAGACAAAGACAGGAGACAGAATACAAGGGAGAATGGGAAGGGAACAAGGGAAAGGGAACAGGGGTATTTGTCCCAGATGGACAAAGGAGCTCTGGATAGAGAGGAGACAAATGTGACCCATAGATAAATGGCAGTTTAGAAAGGTAAAGGGGAAAACCCATGTTAGGATGAGATGTTTCGTTTTAATTAGGCTAGCTAGTTAAGGGAGCCAAAGGGGGCTTCTGATTGCTGGACTTCAATACTTTGATAACTGGACCTTGGTAGTCAGCCTCAGGAGGGGGAAGTGGCCAGATAAAGGGCTAGACCTTGGGGACCAGCTTTAGGCATGTAATCTAGCAGTTCTCAGCAAGGCAAAGAGAATGGGGAGAAGGGCAAGGCCTGCAGAGCTATGCCTGCCATGCTCAGGCTGTCTAGGCTCCCTTCAGAGATTAGTGCTCTCTGAAAGCACTGTTGAGCAGAAATGAAAAGGACAAGTAGACTGGGACTAACAAATCCACAGTCAAATCCAGCAAGTGAAGAATAACCCCAAAATGGAATCATCCTTCCTTCTCAATGTATCACAAATACAAGCATCTGTCTTTTCATTTTGCAATGGTAAGTCACTACAGCTCCCACAATGCCCAGGGAGTAGTTTCACATTCAATATGAAGGGTTGGTCTAATTGTCCATTGATCAGATCAGATAGATTCCTCTTCCATTTCTTCTCCATCCACCAAAATGGGTTCTGTGACTGCTCAGCTTATTATAAGGCCTTGGTGAGTAATTAATATCAATCATGTAGTCCTAACCTCTCAGAGAACTCCCAAGATCATTGCATCTTCTGAGCATACACATTTTAGGTGACTGTAATATATAAAAAGTTTCTATAACCAATAAAAAGATAAATAATTCTTTACAAAGGAATTCACTGTTAGCTGCTATTTTGCATACAATTTATCTTTCTAAAGTGAATTCAACTTACAAGGTTACATAATCCCTACTGTTCCAATTAGTAAAATGTTCTCAAGAATGCTTGGAGGAGAAGGACTGGATCAACCTGGCAGAATTAAATGAAAGCAATGTCCCCAGCAAGTCTTGTAAAGATACAATGTTAGTGATAGCACTGGTGGGATTCTCCCCTGGGGTTTAGCAGGCACATCTGCCTGTAGTGTTGCTCTCTTTGATGTCAAAAGACCACAAAGTCAGGCCTTATGAGGCCTGTGATTCCAGCTACAGGAAGATCTAGAGTTCAATGTGAGCCTAGGCTACAGAAGAGCTCCAGGGCACCCTGGGCATTAGTAAGTGAAACCTTGTTTTCCAAATAAAAAGAAAAAAAGAAAAAGGACTGGGTGTGTGGCCCACTAATATAATGCCATCCTATCCAAGCATGGCCTAGATCCCACCCCCAGTATTTAAAAAAAAAAATCAAGGCACAAATACAGATCCAAAGAAGAATCATTACACACACCAAAGTGGCTTCTCGGAGACACCTGAGTCCTGCAGTCCCTGAACATCCACCTCCCAGCAGCCACTTATGTTCCGCAGAACTTTAAACAAGAGTCCCTTATTTAAGCAGAATTAATTAGCATTCCTTCCCTGACCTTCTGCCTGTGCATTGAGGAAAGCTGGGTAAGTTTGTTGTTCAATGAACAACTCCAGTGTGGTTCAAATCACTCCAGACAGAGAGACTCTACGTTAAAACCTGTGAACCAGCACCCCCCATGGCCAGAGACTCCACACCATGTCTTTGCTTTGATGGCCTCCATTTGTGTATTGCTTGGGGTACACATTTACCAGACTTGGGAAGAGAATGTGCTCACTTCATCCAAAGCAAGGCCAGATACAGCAACTGCTATGCCACAGTTGCCACCACTTACACTATTTTCAGGGTCTGTGGGATTTGTGGTGTGGTGATTTCTAATGCTGTGCTATGATCCAGTTCACAAATAAATAATATGTAGTTACTTAACATTATGAAACCTGAAGCATCCCCTTGGACAGCCCACTTTCCTACCATGTCAGTGTCGAGTACTGTCATTGACAACAGAACAAGAACTTCCAAATCCATGAAAAATTATCATCATAAAATGAGAGAAGTTATGTCACCTAACAATCTAAAACTATTTCTCAGCAAATAAACAAGTCTTGCAGTTTGTAGATGAGTTTCAGCAAAGGACACCCACCCTGGGAAAGCACATGATGCCAAAGCTTCTGCTGTCTTTGGGAATCTCCACCTATGGTTAGATGCACCCTCTGACTGACTGCCTCTGTTGCTTTCAACTATGGTTTTCACATTGCTTTGAGGTAGGGTGACCTGAAAACAGAATTGCTAGCAATGACCACCATACTAATGTGTATTTGTCAGAATCCAAACAATCCATTGTTCCCCAACGCCTAACTAGAGCATCAGCTCCACAGTATGTGTTATCTATACAGAGCTTTGAAAGGAAAGGAAACCTATGGGAATAGACCAGGATTCCCAAGGGTGCTCTGTCCCAGGAGGAACAGCTACTGAAACATAACCATAAAAGCACCTTGCTCCTTTTTCCTGGCAGAACAAGGAAACTGAATTTACTACTGTAGAAGCATTCATATGCATACCAAACCATCATAGCCAGGACTCAACACCCCCACTGTATACACACATGGGGGTATTAACTATCATGGCCAGGACTCAACATCCCCACTATACACATACATGAGGGGGTTAACCACTGTGACCAGGACTCAACACTCCCCATTATACACACACATGGCATATTAACTATCAAGGCCAGGACTCAACACCCCCCACTATACATACACATGGTATATTAACCATCTTGTCCATGACTCAACATCCTCACTATACACACACATGACAGGGGGGTTAGCCATTGTGACCAGGATTCAACATCCCCACTATATACACAAATGAGGGAGTTAACCATAATGACCAGGATTCAACACCTTATTATACACACATATATATATATATATATATATATATATATATATATATATATATCTTATATTTATATTTCTAAACTTGCTCCTTGAAACAATATGAAACCTAAAAGTAACAACTAATCAACCTCTGAAGGCAAATAAAACAATTGCTTAACAAATAACCCCATCAAGATGAACCAGTAGCCCGGGTGGTGGCACACACCTTTAATCCCAGCACTTGGGAGGCAGAGCCAGGCAGGTCTCTGTGAGTTTGAGACCAGCCTGGTCTACAAGAGCTTGTTCCAGGACAGGCACCAAAGCTCTACTGAAAAACCCTGTCTCAAAAAACAAAACAGAAAAGATGAACCAGTAACTCACACAACCCAATCAACATGAACTAATAAGATGGATTAATTATTAACAAATTAACAACCTAAATCTAACGTGACAGCCAAGTAAATAAATCAACAACAATGAACCAATCAAGTCATATAATACTTAATAGAAAACCAAGTGGATCACTATTTAACAGAGAACACAACCAAGTCAACTCTAAAGGTGTCAAGTTCAGCATCACATCAAACTGAGACATCTAACTCATCCTTAGAGTTGCTCTTCGCTGATCCAGACAGGCCCCAGGAAATCCCGCCATACCATTACCTAGGGGGACCGGAAGTGGCCAGTGTACCCGTACTTACGGAGATTATTTATGGGGGTTCTTGTGTCCATATTCTCATAATGCTGCACGTGGACGACAATGTTAAGGTCTCTCTCCATGTGGTCAGTGTTGCAGTGGCCTTGTGGCCTCATGACATCTGCAAGGGCTCTGGAGAAACAAAGAACACAACACTGCTCATTCGCAATACGACAGCGTGCACCTGCCATATGCCCAGCACTCTCCAACTGGACAAAAGACAAAGCCATCTCTTCCAGAGAGCCACCATTCCAGTTAGGGATAGACAGGAAAACACAGAAGTAATAAATCTGAGGTACAAAGTCATTCTATGTGCAGGTCACTGGTTATCTACCTGATGGCTCAGCTGAGCAGGCCAGATGATTAGTTCATGCAGTGTGGCTCCACCCCAGAGGCTAACACAGATGCCCATACTTCCTGCTTAGCAATGGCCCAGTCCCTGCAGTAAACTAATCAATCATTGGGCTAACCACGGAAAGCAATGGCATGGCATCCCTTACCAAAGCCAAAGAATATAGACCTTCTGTGGGCTTACAAGCATTACTCCTTTACAGAAGAGTAAGTGAAGACTCAGAGAGGTGAGTTAACCTGCCCAAGGTCACACAATCAGTGTGCAGCCCAGAGATGCCAGTAAACCTTTTCTTTTTACTTATATGGATTTTTTTTTCTTCTTAAGAGGATGGGAACACAGTCGGACTGATATTGATGACATCACGATGAAACGTAAGCTGTGTTTGCACTTAGAACAGATCAGACAACAATCAGACACATGTCACACCCTAAAACCAGACCCATAAACACATTTCCCTCTTTATTTACCCTTCATGATATGTGCACTTAGAGATATGCAAATACTCTTAAACATATGTAGTACTGGAGTGTTATTTGCATGTGAATCCCTCCACATGTGTGGTCTTTTTGAACCTCCTTCTGTTTTCCCCTTTCTTCATGCACGTGGAGCTGGGGGGAATGCTGAGTGTTCCAGCCTCTTCAGTGACATACCCACTTACCTGCAAGGATGGCTGTCTCTATCTGCAACCCTAGCAAGGTGGAAGAACCAACCAGCCACAGTGGAGCTACAAGCATGAAGGTATTCTGTGAAAAACCAGTAGATTCATCTCTGTTATTATGAAAAACCCCAGGAACCAAGACTTGGGTGAACATCTTCATATTGATCTCCTCTTGGGCCAGGAAGAGGTGTATACCTGCAAGCCCTGTTTCCATTTTTCAGGGAATGCACCCAGACATTCCTAGCCAAGTAGACTCAGAGGATCCACATCAAAGAAGACAGAGAAAAGCGAGGTACTGCTTTGGAGGGGTCCATACAGATTCCCAGGAGCTCGGCAGAGCTTATCCACTGGAGGAACCCTGCCATGGCAGTGATGGTCACAGTTTAAACTGTCTAGATCCATCTGAACCCAGAGGGTTAGAACCCCCACATCTGGGGCATGTGGGAGGTACTTTTGAAAGCCCTCCCATGCACTGACTGTGTGCTCAAGTTCAATTTTGTGTCTGCGCTAGAACAACAGAGACCCTGCATGAGGAAGGGTTGATTGTGGTGACAGGCTGTGGTCAGAACCTCAGCTAGGGAGAAGTCTGAAGGGAGAGAGACCTAGGGCAGTAAGCCAGAGGCTGTGGAGGCTAGAGGCCAAGATGGAATCCATGAAAAGACAGGAGAATAACAAGAGCTCACACATATTTGTTCATTCAACAGATGTTTATTGTCTACAGTATGCCATGCATGACATGAGGCCCTGGGGATACAGCACTGCACAAGCTGAAAGAGGTCGTGGCCTTCTTGGAGCTTACATTCTATGGGAGAGAATAAAAATAAATATGTTAAATAAAAATAAGCAAGAACAGAGATAAACAAAGAAGGATACAGCCAACAGAGCCAGGGCCAAAATAGCATTTCCATTACAGCCAAAAAGTAGAAACAGTCCAAATGTCCATCAGCTGATAAGCAGAATGCAGTGTATGAATTGGAATATTACTCAGCCATGAAGAGGAAGAATGGAGCCCTGACACCAGCTCCAACATGAATTCAACTTGAAAATCTTATGGCCAGTAAGAGAAAGCAAACACAAAAGTCCTGGATTTTGTGGTTTTGTTTATAACAAATGTCTAGAATAGACAAATCCATAAAGAGAAAGTACAATTAAGGTTGCAGAGGCTGTGTGGGAAATGAGTGTTAACAGATAAGGAATGACTTGGGGTGGGGGAGCAATTTGTACTTCATTAGACTTAGTGGCTCAGAAGTAAATTAATGGTGATCATTGCATTTTAAAATGGGAGAGAAATGCCAGGGCAGCATTCTGTGAAGAGGTGAGACTTGAATGAGCAGAGACAGGCTGGTCATGTGAGGTCATAGCTTGGATGTGGACTCAAAGATACATGTCAAAGGCTCAGCTTCCATCATGACACTATGAGGGTGAGGACTTTACAAGGCAGGGATAGTTGTTGGTCTTCAGGTCACTGGAGGCATGTCCTCAAGAACTGTGGGACCTAGTGTCTTCCTTTCTCAGTTCACTGTTTGCCTATCTGGCCATGAAGAGAACAGCTGTGCTCCACCACATGCTCCTGCTAAGACATGCTACATCATCGCCAAGGTCAAGACCTGAAGTCTCCAAGGCTGTAAGCCAAAATGAACCTTTTCTCTGTGTAAGTTGATTAGCTTGGATATTTGTTGCAGTAACAGAAAGCTAGCTCATACAAATGAAGGTGACAGAAATAATGTCAGGCAGGACATACAGAGGAATTAGGCAAGCAAGCTAATAAAGCTGGAACAGGGCAAACGGGGAAACATCACAAGGTATAGATCATCATAACCTATTTTGCAGAGTAAGGAACTGCCCACATCAGCTCTGCTACTCACTGAAGGAGTGAGTGGAGTCCCAGTCCTGAATGTCTGAAATCAAAGCTCACGCCCTTCCTACCTCTGTGTTTAGGCACGGTCTGAAACTCAGGAAGGCTTCAGGGAAGGGGAGTTCTGAGAGGAGGACAGGGCCTCAAAAACCTAACTTGCCTTTTTTACTTCTAAACGGGCTCTTCATCCTGGGCTTCAAAGGATCGCTGAATTCCTCTGGAATTGAATGGAAAAATTTGTTTGTGCTTTTTTTTTTTTTTTTTTGAGCAAAGAAGCCATAATTTTCATCAAATTTCCCATGGGCTCACCCCCCAAAGCACCAAATAGTCAAGCTTTCCAGAGGATCACAAATCAAGGGTTTGGAGTGGCAACCTTCAACCTGGCTGGCACAGGTCCCTGGGCAGTTTCTGGGTAGTGGAAAGTGTGATACTTGAGCTTCAGAGTCACAAGGCAACTGTCTCCCAGGGTTGTCATTCCCAAGGCATGAAGTGGGACCAAAACCAAGAGATCTCCAGTTCTGGATGCAAAGCATCAATAGCATGCTTGGTTCACTCCAGGAAATGCATAAAATGGTCTGTGTGGGGAAAGGCAATGGCAATGTATGGCTTTTAGTCATTAAAAGGAGAAAACAATTCAATTCTGTGTGTCAATGCCACTCTCTGCATTGGATCCACACAGAAGATGGCAGAAGTTAGGGACCAAAGACCAGGTGAGCAGCCACCAGTGACACCCTCACCAAGACCCTTACCACAGTCATATGTGCTCCAAAGGAAAGGCAAATAATAAATTATAAACATTAGATCAGGCTGATCATCACGAAGCAGGCATGTGGCTAAATGAAGAGCTGTCCTCTACAAAACCACAGGCCAAAGGCAAGGCTGCTAACACAAGCAACAATAGCAACACAGTAGGTCAGGTGTGGTGGTGCACACCTGTAATCCAGCAATGGAAATTCCTGCCGAGATAGGAATATGGTAACTCTGAATCTACCCTGGGTTACATGAGGAGGTTCAAGGCCAGCCTAGGCTACATAGCAAGTCCCCAATGAGAAACAGAGCAGGGAAAGGGGTAAGAGAGAACAGAGGGAGAAGGGAGATAGGAAGGGAAATGGAAGAACAAAGGTGAAGAGAGGGAAGGGAAATAAGAGATTACAGCGATGGAGGGAGAGGAGAGAAGAGGAGGGAAAGGAAGAGGAGGTGGAGAGAACTCTACTCTCCGTTAGCTGTTTACAAAGTTAAAACAGAATTGGTCCCTTCAGATCCAAACAAAGTCATCCCCCCAAAAAACTCAAAACTCTCAAGAACAACATTCAAAGCATGGGTTTATTTATGTGTGTGGAACATTATCCTTGGTGTACACAATGCCTTGGAACTGTAGTTAGTGAAAGCAGGAACACATCACAACTACCTGCAGACTTCAAATAATGTTTATTTCCCCACCTTCTACACAATACAAAACTTATGTATGCATGCTTTACAATACACCTCATACTTGCTCATAGGTCCTGACATATAATAATTAACAAAATGAGCATATTATGAAGTACATACTAAAACATTTTAAGTAGGGATGTGTCAAAACCTATAATGACTCAGTGGAAAGGACTGTCTATTCATCACAAACAAAACAAAGCAACACTTAAGGGTTTAACACATGGTTCTGTTGTCTGTTCAGCTTCAGTGTGCTTACAAAGGACATACGATTATCTGGAAATCTTATTAAAATGAAAATTCTGGTTCAGTAACTCAGATAGGACCTAAAACTTTGCCCAAGCTGTCAGATAATGTCAATACTGCTGGTCCATAAACCAGCCAATGAGCATCAAGATGCTACCGGTGCTGATGCTATAAACACTACAGTATGTTGGCCATACTGTGCCAAGATGTTTGACAAAACTATTTTCTGAGTGCTTCTGAGAAAGTACTCTTGGATGAGATAAACATGGAATTGGTAAATTGAGGAAGGTAGATTTCCCATCATAATGTGGGTAGAAGGCCTTATTCGGTATTTGAGGGTCTGAATAAAGTAAAGGATTGACCCTCCCCCAAGTAACAGAATTCTCCCACCAGATGGCCGTGAAACTTGAGCATTGGTCCTTCCTGGTTCTGTAGAATCCTCTCTGTCAGCCTTCAGGCTTAACCTGAGATAGCAGCTTGGCAAGTTTTGGACTTGATAATTCTATATAATAAAACTTTTGATATATTGATTTTGTTTCCTGGAGCATTCTCTCTCATTTGTGTCCCTCACAGAAGCAACCACACTTCGT